GGGGGGCGGGGGGAGGACTTCCCCGGAGCTGCCCTTTACGCAATTCCCCCTTTCCTCGCCTGGCTCCCCGGGCAACCGTCTTCAGACCTTTTCCCCATCCTCTGGCTTAGGAGGAGTAGCTGAGATTCTGCCAGCTCTCCCAGAGCCCCCCACCCACCCACCCCGCCGTGCCCTGCTTGGGGGAGATGGCAACCCCCCACGTGGGGTCCTTCCTTCCCAGCAGCTGCCCAGGGTCAAGCGAGGCCCGTGGGGTTCCTCAAGGAAATGGGATCCACTGGGTCTCTCCAGCTGCAGAGGAAGAGTGCCGGGCTCCCACCAGCCCAGGTTGGACTGGCGAGCCTTGCCGCGCCACACCTGCCTAGCGGCTTCCCCATGTGTGTGTGTGTGTGTGTGTGCGTGCGTGCGCTTCTCGGTTGACAAGGTGTCGGCCTTCAACTGGCCCAGCCCTCTGAGACATTTTCCCATCGGAACGGCAGGAGCCGTGTCATCCTTGGGACCTGCGCTGGGAAGCGTTCCCAGGGCTCGGGCTGGGCGCAGGTTCCCTCCTGCCGTCCAAGTGGGACGGGTTCAGGAGAGAGAGAGAAAGAGAGAGAGAGAGAGAGAGTCATTCTCAGGGCTGCCCTGCCCTTCCCAGAAAAGAGTGTTTGGCAACAAGAATTGCCGTACAGGTGAGCAAAGCGGGGAAATTCCCCGGGAGAGTCAGACGGGGTGCCCCAGGATAGCTGCACCCCCGCCGGGTCTTTGGGGCCCAGAGGCAGGGGAATGGCAGTGGGCACCATGCCAGCCTGGCTCCCGGGTCTCTGCCGGGCTCCCCCAAAGGGCAGGCGGCCTCCCTTTCCCAGGTGCAGTCAGGCTGACCCTAACTCTTCAAAGTGGGTGCCTAGGCAGCCTGGCCTGCACGGAGCCCCCCATCTCACCACCCAGCCCTCAAGCAACTCCGGCCACTTCATTTCCAAAGGCCCCTCTGGAACAACACACCTGGGGGAGTGCTGGCTGGAGAAGCCGTTCCTTCCTTCCTTCCTTCCTTCCTTCCTTCCTTCCTTTCCTTTCCTTTCCTTTCCTTTCCTTTCCTTTCCTTTCCTTTCCTTTCCTTCCAGCCTTCCTTCCTCCCTTCCCTTCCTTCCCTTCCTTCCAGCCTTCCTTCCTTCTTTCCTTTCCTTTCCTTTCCTTTCCTTTCCTTCCCTTCCCTTCCCTCCCCTCCCCTCCCTCCCTCCCTCCCCTTCCTTCCTTCCTTCCTTCCTTCCTTCCCTTCCCTTCCCTTTCCTTCCTTCCTTCCTTCCTTCCTCCCTCCCTCCCTCCCTCCCTCCCTTCCTGGGAGATACCCTGGCAGTGCTGTGGCCCTTAAAGTAGGTCTCCTCCTCAGACATGACAGTTGAGGTAGCTTGAGAAGAGCCCCCTGTGCCAGGACGAGGAGGCCTTTGGCCTTTGGTTGCCCCGGGGTCGATTCTGCTCTCCTGGACTCCCCCCCTTTCCAAGGAGCGCAGGCGGTTCTCACGAAGGCTCCTTCCCTCTCCCCCCCCCCACCCCCTCTGCCTCCAAACAGGCCTGCAACTGCAGCCAGTACGTGAAGGTCTCCAAGGAGAGGATGGGGCTGCTGAGGAAGCGGAGTGGCGGCTGGACAGGGCAGGAGGACGCAGGTACGCATCGGAGCCCCGTAGGCGGCCGGGATAGGCGGCCAGAGCCTGCTGCAGCCCCCCGTTGGTGGGGAATGGATCCAGGGGGTCAGGTCTGGCGGTTCACTTGGGGGCGGGGGACACCGGAAAGCGCCTCCCCTCCCTGGCTGTCCTGAAGGGGAAGGTCGCCCGGGTGGTGCAGCCCAGGGGCTTCTCCTTGGCACGGCTGCCATCCCTGGATCCCCAGTGGGATGCAGCAAACAGCAGCCGGCAGGACAGGGTCCTTCCACACACACACACACACACACACCCATCTCCAGAGCCTGAGAGGTCCCACAGGGGAGACCCACCCCGTTTGCCGAGACCTTCCCTGGCCCAGCTGCCATTCTTGTGACTGATCCAGCTGGCTGAACAGGTTTCTCTCCCCAGGAAAAGCTTTTGAGAACAAGAAAACAAGCCGGCTCCCTCCTCGCTGGTCTCTCATTTCCCACAATGCATAGAAAGCACCCTCCTGCACCCCCGCCCCCCCGCAGCTTGTAAGGAAGAAATGTGAGGGGTGGGTGAGAGCAGACGAGCGGGCTACGGCCCCCTTCTCTCCCCCTCCCACCCTTTCCAGGCCTACATCTCCACCCTTCTGGTACCGACCCTTCCTTTGCCCCGTTTCTGGCCTTGGATGGGCCTACCCCGTTCCTTCTCTGGACAGGTCAGCAGGCCAGCTCAGGGGCTGGCTGTGCTGCTGCAGGGTGGGGGGGGAGGTGGCCAAGGGGGCCCTTTTGGCTACGGCTCTCGAAAGGTGGAGCTGCTGGCTTCTCTCAGGAGGGCCCCCCTCAAGCCAGAGAAAGGATGGAGACGAGGGGAAAGGCGGCTCTGCCCTGGGAACGCTTCAGCTGAGTGGCTGCTTTTCCCTGAGACCAAACTCAGTCCTTCCTTTCCTCGTGCCCGCTGCTTTTATTTTCATTTGAAATGTGCTTGCACGTTAGCAGAGGACAATTAATTGTGGTATAATTACTCATTTGAATTTTTCACCTGAGGCCCCGTGCAGGTTTTTCCCAGGCTGTGGGATCCCTTTTCCCGCCCCTTTCCGAGGCTCGCCGCCTCCTCTCCCCCCCCCTCTGCCTCCCTGTTTTGGCCAAGATCCTCTTGCGAGCCCCAACAGGTCTGCCCGCTGGCTGCAAGGCCAGCCAACCTTGGGGTCCTGGGCACGTTGTGTCCAGCGGGTGGGATTCAAATGTTTTAACAACCGGTTCTGTGGGCGTGGCTCAGTTGGTGGTCATGGCTTGGTGGTTATGTTATGGCCAACTCAATATCACATCGAGGCACGCATCTCCTCGCCTGGCCTCTCGTGACTGTGGGGGTGTTGCAACAGTCAGAAGTGTGAAAAAGGGTCATAAGTCACTTTTTTCAGTGCCTTTGAATGGTCACTCCACACAAGCAAAGTACCAGCAAAAGAGGGGGAAAAAAAACTCCAGAGAGGTTCCTGAGACAGGAAGTCTGGTCCTGCCAAGAATGTAATAAGGGTTAACGGAGAGGCAGTTTCTGTAAGCAACACCAGAATGTTTCCTTCCTGCCTTCCTTACAGGATTAGCCCTGTAATTTCTTCTAACAACCGGTTCTCCAAACTGCTTAGAATGTTAACAACCCGGTTCTAGCGCATAGGTGCTGTCCTGGCACCCTTGGCAGCAGCAGTCGGCCAGGCCCTTCAGGCAGAGAACGGGGGCCTGTTGGCCCCATGGAGCAGGGGTCTCCAACTGTGGCCCCCAACTCCCAGCTATGCTGGCTGAGGAATTCTGGGAGTTGAAGTCCACAAGTCTTAAAGGGGCCACAGTTGGAGACCCCTGCCCCGGAGGGTGCCCAGGGACCCTGAGGCAATCTCGCCAGATGCTTCTTTTTTCTCTCTCGCACTCCTGAGAAGTTTGCACACCCCTTACTGGACCTTTGAACTCCAAGGACGCTCCCAGGGTGTGTTTTTAAGACCTGGGCAAGTTTTATGGCCTCAACCTCTCCCTTCCTCTCCCCAGAAAGTTAGCACGCCTTTGGAATCCTGAGAAGGGCTGGCTTTCCCTAGGGAAGTTGCGAGGGCGGGTGGGTGGGCTATCTTGAGCCTCCCAAGGACTAGCACCTTGTCTGCTTGCCGACGGAAGCCGAGGCCGTTCTGTGCGCGGGGCCTGAATTCCCCACCGTCACCTTTGAGGGACAAACTCCGGCCCTTCCTGATCCCCGTGACCTGTGAAGGTGGCCAAATTGCTCCTATCTGGAGGGTGTTTGTTGATGTTGTCGTGACTTTACACAGGAAAGGAAGACGGGGCCCCGTTTGGCCTTCCTTGCCAGGGACACTTCAAAGGGTCACCGAGACAAAAGCACTTCAAAGTGGCCGTTTGTCAATGAGGGACTTGTAAAGGCCCCCCCTCCCCGTCCCATTGCAGCCCCCCCCACCCTCCCCCGCCCCTCCAAGGAGCTCTTTTCAAAGCCCTCCTCCCTTGGAAAAGCCCCCCCCCCTCCTCCTCCTCCCTCCCGCCAGCGCACAGAATGCCAGCCAGGGCCCCTCGCCAAAAGGTCATCTCCTTGCCGGCTCACCAGAGACAAAGGGGGTTTTCTTTTTTTGGAAGGGAGAGTTGGAGAAGTTGGTGGGCGGTGGGGGAGCCCCCTTGGAGTGGGGGAGACGAGTCACCAGCGGAGTTCTCGCCCCCCCCTCCCTCTCTCTCCGCTGCTGCACCATCGCCGGTGGTGGTTGATGTCACACCGTAAAAAGGCCTCCGCAGAAATCTTCCCATTTTCTGTTTACGCTTCAGGATCTCTCACCTGGCCGCCTCTTGAGGAGTCTCTTCCTGGGACAGCTGCATGTTTTGCACTGAGAGAAGGAGGTTGCAAACGGGGGGCGGGGGGCAGATCTTTGCCCCCAGAGCCTGGTGTCCCCTCCCTCTGCACCCTGCAGGGCTGCCTGGATCCAGGGACTCCACTTCGGTCACCCCTCCCGTCTCTCTCTCTCTCTCTCTCTCTCTCTTTAGTCTTCTCGGGAGGAGGCCAGGAATGGGGACCCCCCCCCCACAAGAACAGGGAAGTCTAAGAGCTGTCCTTTTGTTTTGCAGAGGCCTGTTTGGGAGATCCTGGCCCCTTCGCCGCCACCGCCACTCCGGAGCCCCAGAGTTGCAGCCCAGGCTGGCAGACCCCGGAAGCGGCAGGCCCGGAGCTGCTGCTGCCGCCGGGCGTCCGCCTGAGAGTCGAGGCCGTTCCGCCCGGGGTGCTGTGCAAGGAGGACCTGGACTGCTTCTACTGCTGCAGTCAGTGCGGCCAGGTGTTCTGGGAGGGCTCTCACCTGGGCCGCCTGGTCTCCCAGTTTAGGGAGGTGCTGGAGCTGCCGGAAGAGAGCTGAAGCGGCGCTTGTCCGTGGGGTCTGCGCAGGAATGGGGGGGGGGGTGAACCCCCCTCAGAGCCTCCCTCACAGCAGGAAGGCATGTTGGCAAGGCAAACTCCCCCCTCCCCCCCTTTTCCAGAGGGCTCTTTGGAAGGATTTCCGGCTTTTTTCCCTCCGGTGCTGTTTTGGCACGGACCACCGTCCCACAGGGTGGAGACCCACTGCAGGCAAAGTTGGGCCCCCATCGCCCGCTGCCTCTGGTGTGAGGTGGATTGTTTAGCAGCATTCCAGACCCCGGGACCAAACGTTCTCTTGCAGGTTGGGGGATTACACACACACACACACACTCACACTCACACCTACCTCTGCACAGTGCAACTTGGAGCTTTTGCTGTAGAACTGTATGCTCTCTCTTCCTCTCTCTCTCTCTCTCTCTCTCTCTCTCTCACACACACACACACACACACACACACACAGAGGCACAAAGGAGGTCCTTCTGTTTCTCTGGAGATAAGAGGCCCATGCAAGAAATCTCTCCCTTCATCCCAGCCAGCCAGCCAGCCCTCCCGCCCCGTTTCTCCTCTGATTTTTCGCCAGGAGATTCCCACAGGGAGACCTTTTTTCGGCTGTTCTGAGGAATCTGGACCCCTTCAGCCTGGAGGGCGGCAGCCTGCTCTCTCTCTCTCTCTCTCTCTCTTTCCTCTGGGGGCTTTCTTGTCTCTTGTCCCCCCCCCACCCCACCCCGTAGAGCCCAGGGCCCCTCTCCTCACAGAATGAGATGCTGCCCGGCAAGGAAGATAGAACGAGGCTTTGAGCCGGGCTGCGAGAGCCCGTCAAATCCGTCTTTTTAACGCGTTCAGACGTTCAGCTGCCAGTTTTTAAGGACAATAAATGAAGGTGCTACTGAAACAAGCTGAGGTTCTCTTGCGTTACTCTTTCCATCTGCGTTTGGCTCGCCAAGCCCCACAGTTAGGAAGGGGCCGTTTCTGCTTTCGAGCAACCAGTGTTTAAAGTTACCCTTCCGCCAAGGACGATCAGCGCTGGAATGTTCTGCTTTATGCGGACTTTCTTCCCCAGGTGCCCCTCAAGGGCAGGCAACTCCCCTGCCCGAGGCCAAAGACCCACCAGGCTCCTGCTGGGGAGGTTGTGTGTGTGTGTGTGTGTGTGTTGGGGGCTGTCTGGCTGGCTCTCCTGGCACGGGAGCTCCGTAATTCCGGAAGGAAGCTTCACTTCCCTCCCTCCATCCTGTCCCCAAGGCAGGCAGCCAAAGGGCAGGAAGCGGGTTTCCGAGCATCTCGAGACAAGTTCGGTTGGTTCCAGAGGACGTCGACCTTTCCGGCCTTTGGCAAAAACCCCTCCCCAGGGAGGAAGGTGACCAGGCCTCTTGGCACAGTCCCCACCCCCACTCCCGAAGCGGCTCAGGATTCCCAGCGGATCCCTCTGCAAACTGTCCGGGCAGGCACGCCTAATAAAATGACCCTCCGAGCCAGGTTTGGAGCAGCAGCAGCAGCAGCACCGCTGGCTGCAGATGCGAGAGGCCCGGCTGGCTTTCCTGGGGCACAAAAGGAGGCCCCAAAGGCTGGGGCGGGGGGGGGGCGGCCTTTAGAGGATAAAGAATCAAAAAAAGTTTTGCATTTTATCCTTTCTGATGGGGGGGGGGCTTCTTCTCCGTCCCCCGCCCCCGCCGCCCTTTGCCCAGGCCAAATGGCTACATCGGAGGGCAGGAGGGCTGTCCAAGGATTTAAAGCCCCCAAATCGGCGTCCCTGCCGGGCTGGTCCTTCCTTGGCCCCTCTCGACTTCGCTTATGCCAGCCTACGGGCGGACGGGGGGGGGGGGAGCCCTCCGCCGCGGGGCCCGGCTTCCTCGCCGCCGCCTCTTGCGCCCGGGGCTCCCGCGCTCCGCAGGCAGAAGCGAAAGTTGCTTTTCCCCGTCCGAGATCTCGGCGGAGATAGCGCCGGTTCTCCCCCGCCTGTTTTAATCGGCAGCGCCATCTCCCTTCCCGGAGGTGCGCGTGCGCGTGCGCGCGCGCCCGTCTCTCTCTCTCTCTCTCTCTCTCTCTCCCCCCCCCCCCCCCCCCGCCCCCCCCCCCCCCGGTCTCTGCGCGCCCAGGTACGCGTGAGGAGGCCTGGCCCCGTTTCCCGTCACGCCTGGGCAGGAATCCGGCCGGCTCGCTCCACAGCCTAAGGGCCCCAAAGCAGCCCGTCCGGGCGGCTGCACATCCAGGCGGCTGGAGCTGTTGTCTGACCACAACCGGGGAGGGTGGGGGGGGGGTGTTCAAGGCTTCCGTTTGTCCCTCCACTCCGGCCTAAGGGCCCCTCCCTCCCTGTGGCAGAAATACTCGGAATTATTGGGGGGGGGCTTTGCTGCCCGAGGATTTTTTTTGAGGGGGGGGGTCGGTGCTGCACTCCTGCCATTCCTGGTTTCTATCCCTGCGAAGTACAAGGTGGCTCTAAGCCCTCCCCACCTTCTCAGTCTCACACACACACACCCCAACCCACGCCTGAGAAAGTCACACCCCCCCCCCCCCCAAACAAACCTCGCGCCGCAGAGCCCCCCCCCCACCCCCCCGAGTATTTCTCCCACAGGGGGGGAGGGGCCCTTAGGCCGGAGTGGAGGGACAAACGGAAGCCTTGACCCCCCCCCCCCCACCCTCCCCGGTTGTGGTCAGACAACAGCTCCAGC